TGAACATCATTGTAAAAAAAAAATAAAAAACAGAATAAGTAATTTCTTTCAGAACATAGATGCTGATGACTCTCCACAGATTCTTTTTTTCTATTAACTATGAATAGGCATGTATTTTGGGGAAAGATAGTGGAATAGTTTCCCATTGCCTTCTCCACAGTTTGGAATTCAGAGTTTTCTTTATATTACAATTTGCTATTTAATCCATAGCTCTATCAATAGAATAGAATTCAGATTTTATGTCTTCTAATTTAATGTAAGTTTAGATATAAAATGATAGATTAAAGTTAATTTTCTGTTTTTTTTTCTTTATTTTTTGTTTATATTATTTCCATTAAAAAAAAATCCTGATTTGTACAAGTTGCTCTTTCATTATGAAATTTTGTCAGCCTAAATAATTGTAAAAAAAAAAGAGGTTATACTGTATAAGATGACAAAATTGAATCAGAGCCTGTTCTTTTTATTGATTATCACACCAACTTGAACTTACCTGCACACCTGGACACCCAATCAGAAATGGATAAAAAGGGATTGTTGTCTCCAGGATTAGAATTTGTTAACCCTTCTAATTCACTTTGTGTTTCATTTTGTTGTTGTTATCATTGCTTCCATCTGACTGAAAGCTCTTCTTTTCTCTTTATTTGCAAAAGATTTTTCTACTCTTTGTCTGGTCACTTGAAAAATATTCCTTTGAGGTTCTTAAATTCCTTTATAATTCTCTATTATTTTTCTTTTATTTTTAATTTTGTGTGTGTTTGTTGCTCTGATTGGGTGAGAATGTAAAGACAAGCACTTACAAGCCATCACATCAGAGACATTGTAATCTGGGTACTTTAACTTAGGTATTTAATCCTTGCTTTCCCTCTCACATATCAGAAGGGGACATCAAAAAGTAAAGGACCTCACTGACCTTCTTCTGCCTCAGTTTCTGTTTGTTACCAGTTGCTTATTTTGAATCATACAGATCTTCATAAACACGGCAATAATATCAGTTATTTGATGTTCAAAACTTCTAGATTTTACTACTTTTCATAGTTATAAATCATGTACACTAATCACTTTTTTTTTTTAAATTCATAGACAAAGCAAGTAACTCTTTCTCTCTCTCTCTCTCTCTCTCTCTATATATATATATATATATATATATATATATATATACACACACACACAAGTTTTGTTAAAAACCACTGACAAGCTACTGCAGTTAAGTTTTTTTTAAATTTTTCTTACATTTTTATAATTCTCTTTCCTTCCTGGACAAAAAGAATGTAAAAATTGTCCAAATGTTGTTTGACCAAGTACTTTCAGCTAGTCTTTTAGCCATTATCAAGGATAATTTTTACCTTTAACTGAATGGAAACATTTTTTTGGTGTATGTATCTCAAGTAATAGGCATGTTTTTATTTTCCAAATATGGTCAGGATATTGTGGCCATGTTCATAGTTGATGTTATTGAGTGTTGGCTTTTTTTTTTTATTAATAAAGCTTACATTATTTTTAGCATTTTTAACATGTGGATGAGGTTATTATATTTGTATCATTTATGAGTATGTTACAGATGAAGTTTGGTAGGTCCCCATCTGTGTTTAAATGAGACCTAATTGAGCTATGATCAGAGATATGTAATGTGATCATGTATTGTTATGTCAGTTATAATTATTCATGAATTTGGTTTGATCAGGACGACTTCTTTAGGAGGACATATGAATTTATAAATAATATTGGTTCTCTGTCATTTGCATCTTGCAGGTGAGTTATTGCTGTTGACTATGAAGTTAACAGTTTTAAATTTTTTATAGTAGATAATTAATTTAATTTTCTTTCTTTTGTTGACTGGAGTTGTATATTTCTTTATAATGTTTCTAAGAGAAGATCCATCCTGCTTATATGATAGTTACCATGCATTTGATTTTTATAGAAAATATTAATATTATTGTTTTTATCTGTATGGTCAGTGTTGCTATTTGTTACCTTAATAAGAAGTCTAATTTGGTGAACGATGAGGTAATTTGGAAAACCATTATTAACTAGCGTCTCTTTCACATTGTTAAGTTCTTTAAAGAAAAGTAGGTAAGAGGATGAATTCTTGTGCATGCCAATGAGAAATGTTTTATAATGACTATTTTATATCTAAGTGGACATTCACTAGTAAAATTAAAGTGGCAAGAGTTTCTACTTGTTTTGTTTTTTTTTTTTTGCATAAAAAATAGCTGAAGGGGCTCAGATATAGAGAACATTCAGACAATTTCTATATACTTTATGTCCAGAAAAGAAAAAAATTATATGAAAACAAGAAAGATTAAAGGAAAAGCTTAACCATAGTAGCTTGTCAGTCATCTTCAGTAAAACTTGTATAAAAGAGGGATTGCTGCCAAAATACACAATTTTATATATATATATATATATACACATAATGAGGTTCACAATAGTTTGACTCAAAATTTCTTGATTCCTTACTTGTTAAGACAGCCAGACAAGAATAATTGTATTAATTATTATAGAATTGTATGTACTAAAATAAAAATCTGTAATACAATGTAATAATGGAACATTCTGTAATAATTCATGCAATCATTCTTGTCTGACTTGAATAATGAAACTTTTAGTCGACTGCTGGTAAATATTGAAAATTTAAATTACTTCCGATACAATAATTATGGCACTAGATAACTGCTGAATACTTTATTGGCAGAACATCTGTTTGTCTTAATATACATGGAATTATATAATTTTACATATATCAATCAGAAGCATTACTATTTTAATTTATATATATATATATATATATATATATGTGTGTGTGTGTGTAGGATGTATAATAGTATCCGAAACAAAAGTGAAGATGATGAGACAAATAAGAGATATAGATAAAAAAAACACACATACAGTCAGACAGACACTTTCTAACTCTGGACATTGGAAGGTGATAAGGTTAGATAATTAATTTGATTCATGATCCCCACTTATCCTCAGAGACACTAAAGTATTTTCCTCACACACAATTTTGTCTGCCTTTCATTTTAACCTGAGGAAGCCAAGGAGTGTTGTTAATAAAATTTTCCACTTTGTCTCGTCATTTTCATATATATAAAAAAAATAAATAGCTGGCTATTCATATTTGAGGATACCATGTCTACTAGGGTGGCTAGCCAATCCCTATTGCAGACATCTGCTCTGTGGTTTATACTGTATCTATGCTGAGCAGACATTAGTCACAGTTTCTGGGAATGATGTGTTATCTAGTGTGATCAAGGCCAGCATGCTCAATCCCTCGGTCACGATGACTTGTGACTTTGTGCTAGTGTCCTTGCTTGGTGTGAACTGATTACAAAAAAATGTAAGGTTTGATAATTAAAGCAGTGGAATTACATGATTTGAGGAGCTTGAAGAGCATATATTTGATGTCTACCGTATTGCAACATACCAGTGAATCAAGTATTTCTGCAGATAAGCTCTTTTAATAAAGGTTTAAACACCAAAAGAAAGCCCAATTACTTATATAAATGTTCTGTATTCTGTTTTCTTTCACCTTTCATTTTCATTTCCCTCTCTTTCCCAGTCTGATTCCATTCTTTTTTTTTTTTATTTTACTCAGCCACCTTATTTTATTTCTTCTTTAGATTTCTTTCATATTGTATTCATTAAGTCTCACTTTATCTCACAGAAAGTTAGGGCACTTAGTGACAACCAAACTCACTACAGTAATAATGGTCTGTGAGACTTGCTTGTTAATCTAATTTAATCTTGTTAAACAGTAAAGTACATAAATTTCTATCTTTTTACTCTGAATATTTGCTAATACATCCTTTGCTGTTCTTTTTCAGCCATCTTATTTTTTATTTTATTGTTTCCTTTTTTGTTTCTTATTTGCTTTCTCATGCCTTTCTTTTTTCTCTATGCTATCTTCTTTTGCAATGTTTCTTTTTTCCACCTTTCCCCATTCTTTTTATTCTTCTTTTCATTCTATTTTCTTGTCTACTTTTCCTCTTTCATTCAAACTCTCTTTTTTATTTCACTTATTAGTAGGTCTTGTCTCTGTAAATCATTATTACTTTCCTTATTAGTAGGTTTTGTATCTGTAAATCATTATCTCAAAAATTCTTACAATCTAAAAAAATTTTTTCTAGCTTTAAGGAAAGTTGGTTCTCTGTGTCATGCCAGAAGGTTTTTCTCGTCCGAATCCATCCTTCAAATCTATAAATCAACCATCCATCTTTGCATGGAATACTACTGTCATATATGGTCTGGTGCCCCCCAACCTTACATCTCGAGGTCCTCAACAAAATCCAGAGACAGATATGCAATGTGATAGGTCCTGATCTGGCATCTCATCTCTACAGTCACTTTCTCACAGACGTTCTGTGGATTCCCTCTGTCTTTTCTACAAGTATTTTCATGGCAACTTTTCTGACAAGCTACTTTCACTGGTACCCTGACTGCATGAATTTAAGCGCTCAGTCCCACCCTTTCACTGTCAAAATGGTTAAATGTAACTGTCTCTTCTACTCAAACAGCTTCTTCTCTTGCACTTCTCAACTGTGGAACTCCCTTCCTCTTACTATCTTCAAATATTCAAGTGTAATGTCAATTGACATCTTCTGATGCCTTGATCTTGACCCCCCCACCACCATCATCTTGTTCTTCTCTTAATCCTTTCCTCAAACATGCCACTTTACTCTTGTTCTCAACTCTCTGTAACCTCTTGCATGCTAGTGGCACTCATGCCTTGCTTGGGGTGAAATGCTTAAAAATAAATAAATAAATAATAAATAACCAGGAAAAGTTTGATAAACCATAAAACCAAATAAATCAATCAATACATCCCCATTCTCTTTTTTTTCCCTATCTTAACATTATTCATTTTCTCCTTCTTTTTTCTTTTTTTCTTCTTTTTCTTTTTTCTTCTTTTTCTTTTTTCTTCTTTTTCTTTTTTCTTCTTCTTTATTTTTCTTCTTTATTAACCTTTTACTTTTTCATCTTCTATTCCCATTCTCACTTTTCAGCCATATCACTTTGAAACACCTGTCCTTGTACAATCACCAAAGTTCAGCAATGTCAAGCCTGATCAGTACCTTGATGGGTGACCACTTGGGAATATCAGGTGTTGTAAGCTTGAATGTTTGGGTTGTGGAATTGATATCAGCTCAAAATTCAAAATTGGACAGCCAAGTTCCAATTCCAGTCAGGTTCATTATATTCATCTATAGGCAAATACCCTTGGGAAAGGTATGAAGGCAACTTTTCTCCCTCCAGATATGGGTAGGACTTTTATCTGTAAATCATTATCCTCTCAAAAAAAAATATCATACAATCTAAAAAAAATATTTTCTTGTATTAAAGAACCTGCAAAATGTGGATAAGCCATAAAAACAAATCAGATCATCCTAATTCTCTTTTTTTCCCTATGTTAATATTCTTCTTTCTTTTTTCTTTTTTCTTCTTTTTCCTTTTCCTTTTTTTTAATTCCACCCCCTATTCTTTCTCTATGATATCATATTTCCTAATGGTTTTGTTTTATCTCTCTCTTTTCGTACTCCCTGATATCCTAACTTCTTTCTTTGTTTCATTCTCATATTCTTTGCACCCAATTTATCTTTCATGCCTATTTTCCTCTTTCCCCCTCTCTCTCTTCATGCAAATCTTTTTCATCCCTTCTTTCTTTTCTATTCTTTTCTATCTTTTCTTTCTCATAACCAGTAGGTCACACTTTTTCTTTTCAGCTTCTGTTTTTCTCACCTTCCTTGTTTTGTTTATCACATTCTATTCTTGCTTTTTTCTTTCTTTCTTTCTTACCTACTCCACCCACCCCAATATATTTTCCCTCTTTTTCAATGCCTCAAAAATTAAACAACAACAGTTTTATACACTCATTTTCTTTTCTCTGCTTCCAATTTCTTTTTCTTTCTTTTTTGCTAAGCCTTTGGATATGCCAAAATTCCAGAAATCAAGGTAAGAACCATATTTAAATTGTCCCCTGGGGGATTTTATAGCTTTTACTACTGACGTAGTCAATGGCTTCACTGTGGGAATTTTTCTCTGGAAATTGAGCATAGAAAGCAGTTTGTAGAGTAATTCTTACTTACTCAAATATCAGGGTTAATTAGTTGATGTCTGTCATTAAATTGTACATTATGTGGTTTTAATGTGTACCCAATTCCCAGCAGTTTTATACTTCTTTATCAATATTTTATGAATTAAGCTCAATGGTTAGATCAAATGGCTGTAGGGGACAATGCCAAAGGTTCTATACATTCATCTGGATTGATAATACATAATCCACTGAAAAGGTAAAACTGGTACTGAGCAAGAGTACAACCTTTTATTTGCATTGGATTTACTTTTCACTATATTTGATGCAATATTTTGAGTAGCTACTTCTCTAGACTTGGGTAAGTTGGTCAATAAAACAGTTAAATAAAATGGTACCGATGAAATCAGTATGATAAACATTTATTAATATTAAGCAGTTGACAAAAATGAAACACAGAGATTGAGGTTCAAAGTTCAGAATTTTTTAAAACACCTGTGTTCTTCATCAGTGGATGCAAGAAATAAACAGAAGGACAGTGGAAACTATCCAACATTAGTTTTTTGAGGTAGGTAAAGTCCACTTGTAGGTGGAATTGTTAGAAAAAATCTGTTCCCTGTTTGATTTCTCGCTGTGCGAAATTTAATGTGAAAATAACCTCAGATTTAAAATTGCGATTAGTGGTGGGTGGTAGGGGAGTGAGATGTTGAACATGGGGGCAAAGAGGGTTGTAGGACCAGAAGTGGGGCAGGGGTGGCATTAGTGCTGAAAGATTTTGTTTTTGTGAGTTAGGTACAGTGTGGGAACATAGCGAGATTACCAATAAAAGTAAAATGAAAAAGAAAAAAGAGAGAGAGGAAAGAAATAACACAAAACAGGGATAGAAAAATCATTGTTAGACAATGAGGGGTGAGGAAAAAATAAACTGAAAAAAATAAAAAATAAAAAAATATATATATATGTGTGTGTGTGTGTGTGTGTGTATGTATTAAAACAGTATTCATTATAAAAAGAAATAGAGAAAATAGACATTGGTAATGGTAATGGTTAGGGTTAGACATTTCCTTATAATTGACTGAGCAGCCAGCACTATTTTCAGTTGAAATTTCTACAATGTTTCTCTTAAAACAATTTTTCAGTTAAATAGGAAGTCCAGAAGCTGTTATTGTTCTTTTCAGTAATGATGGGGCTTCCTTCCTCACCTTTCATTTAAAGTAATATGGAATGTCGACATCTTGATTATGTCATTATTTTCTCTTAATGTTACATGTGATATCCATTTTAGTTGATGCTGCTTTTGTCCTCAAATGATGTGCTTTCTGTTACTTGGTACACTTCTTTATTTGTGATTGCATCAGTCCACAAGGATCAAAAAAGGATAGGCCTTTCAAATACCTACAGACTTCCTAATTTTTTCTAGATTCATCCACAATCAGTGGGAAGCAGAAAAGCAATAGAATGACACTGATGTGCACAATCTATTACACAATTTTTTTCACTGAATCAAAACTGAAAAAAAAATGGCAGAAGAATGGAAGCACTTTTGCAAGGTGAGGCTTCTGACAGTTGCCAAACATTCTCTTGCAGTTGATGCCAGAAAGCATGACTCTCCTACCATCTGAGAACCAGCATCAAATGTAGAAGCCTCGTCAAATTTTGTTCATGAAGCAAGTCATAATAATAACAACAATAATAATAATTGGTTCCTGTGGCATTTTCTATTGTGATTAAAAGTAACCTTGGTTTCTATCATTGAGCCTATGTAGCCATATTGACATCAATTTATTTGACTTTCCTTTCAGTTGTCATCTGAAATGCTCATCCAATTGTTTTTCTTTTCTCTTATTATATGAACTGATGTAGTAACCTTAAAATGAATGGATTATTGTTGCATCCTTAAAGAAGGTTACAAACAAACAAAGGTGGTACCCAAGTGAAAGGAACAGCAACACAGGCATAGATGTAGAAAGAGAGGTTTATTGTAAAAGAGAATACACAACTGAAAAACAGGGAATTGGTTAGCAGACTAGTAATTCCTGAAGCAAGTCTGCCATGTATATCCTGTGCTTACTATATATATCTACTGATATATTCAGTCTACATATGCAGTAGGGAGTGTGGGCCATTCGATTACAACAATTATTTATGTCTGTTTCATTCACATTCATCTATCAATATTGAAAAAGTATGGATTTTTATTGTTTGTTATTGTCTTTTTTTATCAAATATTTTACCTTTGTACCACACCAATCAACATCTTTAAGTTTTTCAGGCTCATAACACTTTTATAGTTTTGATTAATATACTAATATTATTTATAAAAATAATAATATAAAGGTATTAGCTGTTCTGCGTAATATAGCAACAACTCTAAGTAGAAGTTTATGATGCTTTATTTGACTAATTCACCTTATTATAGTGGACGATTACAAGTGAGAGGTGAGATGGGGTGTGCTTATTTTATTACCAAATCCTGTTAAAATGTAAATTTTCTTTAAAATCTTATATATGGATGTAAAAATAATAAACAGGTTAAGACTGAATATTATCTTAAAGAGAAACAAAAAACCTGTGATATTCTGTTTTTTGTTTGCTTTTTAAGCCAAAGCACCAAAATTCAACAAGCATTGCCTTTCTACTCTCATTCTCTGATCATATCTCCAACAAAGAAAGTTATATTTTTCTCAATTACTTTTCATCCATACTCATACAAGGACAAATATTTTTCTTAGAACAGTTCTCTGGAAGTCTTGTAAAATGACCCTTATTCAAATGAAAGATTATTGCTTTAAAAGTGAGAGACATTTCCTATTCAAAAACACTTATAGTGAAGAACAATTTTGATATTTTGGTATTTGTCCTTAAGTATTGGCATAACATGTTGAAATGAACTAAAATTATGATCGGTTGTTTATTAGACATATTTCCATGTGACAACAATGACATTTGACTTATCCAATATTTTTCACATGATAACTCGTCTTTCTTCATCTGTCTATATTTCTGAGATGAAGTATTGTAACTATTTACATTGTTCAGACTGTTTGTCCTCATCTTTATTGTCCCATTCACAACGTTTCAGCCATTGTATGCTCAGGCCTTCTTCAGGATCTGTCTATATTTCTGAGATGAGGTATTGTAACTATTTACATAGATCAGACTGTTGTCTTCAAATTTGTTGTATGCTCTGGCCATCTTCAGGTGATATTTGTTGGAATTTCAAATCAAACCCTGTATTTAGTCCATGGGGTAAATTGTTCTAATTCCACATACCATCCTTAAATATGTTCCTTTATTGTCCTGACCTCACTTCCCCTTACTAAGGAATTCTCATTCACTTTCATTCCCTGTAAAGCCATGCATTTTAGTGTGATTATTGCCTTGCTTAGGATGAATTAAATAAATAATAAAAAGGGATCAAAATCCTGCTTCAGAATATGTTTTTTTTTTAATACATTTCTTATTCTTCAAAGGTATTCTCTGCCAACTTATTCCTTCATTTTCTTTTGTATGATCCTACTATTATTATTATCATTATTATGATATACGATCCTTGATGTTTCTATCTTTGAATCAGAATCAATTCACCCATTTCCTCAGTATTACAAATGTAAGGAAAAAGTTTCATTCAGCTTTTCCTCCAAGAACTGCCACTCCCTTTTTTATAGGATCTGTGGCACAATGGCATAGACTGGAATCCATAATTGTGTATGTTACCATTGTTGTGATAGTGTAGTGTAATGGTTTACAAACTTGTCTTGCTACAACAATTATGAATGAATAGTGAGTTCGATCCTCACTGGGTGCCCTATACTTTCAGCCTTGTGCCACATCTAAGCTATGCTTAGTAAATCACTACCATTGTTGTGATGACACAGAATCACTGGGTGGTGGTCTTCCTAAACTGAAGTCAACGGCCAGAATGTAGGATACTCCCGATTAAATCAAAACCACATATCTGTGACCAAGAGGAGCCTTCAAGTTGGTGGATAATGACTGTGGTTTAACCTGGAGAAGCATAGGCTCCACCAGGTCTAATTGTACAACACACACTGGATATAAATGTATAACTCTCTGGCTTTC